GCTTACCTGGACCCTAAGGAACCTACCTTTTTAGGGTTCCCGAATATGATTTCTTTATATAGGTCCTTAAAAAGGTAGGTTACGTGGGGTTAAGGTAGGGTTATTTAGGTGTAGAGTAGGTAACCTTTATGTAACCTGTTTCGGGTAGTATAGCCCCTGTACAATCCCTATATACCCCAAAAAGGTTAACCGCTGGTTCCCCATGATACCCGACAAGTAGGGTGAGGGACCCAGTTACCTATGCAGTTCTTTACTGTTGGTTATGTCTTCACAAACCTTACCTGTACATAGGTATTCGGGCTCCCGCCACTTCAAGACTTTAAGGTATTGTGTTCCGTGCCCTAACGGTCCGAAAAACCCCAACAATTAGGTACTCGGGTGTAGGATAGTATGTATGTACGCTACAATTTTGGAGAGTATATGATAGTTAGGTGCTTGGACCCTTAGGACTTAGGGTTCTTTGACTTCGAAACCCTAAACTAGGCCCTAAACTCTTGTGGAGCCCTTTAAAGGAACCCTCAAAGGACCCCTATAGTAGCCCTTTAAAGGGACGGGATATTGGAAGAGGTGGGTAGGAGGTCGCTTGCAGAAAAGCAGAACCCTGAACCCCTAAACATCTGGACCCTAAACCCTGGTCGGAGCTAACCGAGTAGAACCCTTGCAGATCCCTTGAACTGCCTAAAAAACCTAAACCCTAAACTCCAAACCCTCCTTGGAGGGGCAGGGGACTTAGTAAGTATAGGCTATAAGTAGAGTTATAAGTACCCTAAATGGAGTTGCTCCAATTATAACCCTACTTATAAACGACTTACTAAGTCCCCTGCACCTCCAAGTAAATCCTCTATAGCGCCCTTTAAAGGCACCCTTTAAAGGAACCCTAAAACCCTACAGCGCCCTTGAAGGCACCTTTTAAAGGAACCCTCAACACCCTAAAGCCCTAAACCCCAAAAACCCCTAAACCTCAAACCCCTAACCCTTGCCTCCTAAACCCCGAAACCCCTACACCCCTAACCCCTAACCCCCTGAACCCCTAAACCTTAAGGCTCTTGGACCCTAGCCCCAAAAGCCGAAACCCTCCCCCAGAAAGCCCAAGACCCTCTTCGGAGCCTTAGGGTAGGCACCCTTTCAAGGAACCCCAAACCCCTAAAGCCCTAAACCCCCAAAAACCCCTAAAGCCCAAACCCCTAACCCCTACCTCCTAAACCCCTAAGCCCATAAACACCCTTTAAAGGAACCCTAGGCACCCTATAAAGTAACTCGAAAAACCCTTCTAGGATGCCCAGTAGTACCCTTATTCCCTTTTTGTAGTCCTAGGTTCCTTATAAAGTTACCCAATACCAAAAAGAGAGGCCTTTTTATTCTTAGGTTACTGGGTATCCTATATTTTTTGCAACCAAATGATCTTTTGTTGCTTGTACCTAGACCCCCGAACTACCCCTAATTTTTTAGTATTAAGGGCCATAAGGGCTCCATTAAAGGGCCAAAGGAACCCTAAGGACTCTGGGCCTTGGAGGTCGCTCCCTCCGCTCCGAAGCGCCGCTCGTCCAAGCAGCACTTGCTCGGCCTTGGGGTTGGAGGCCGTCTTAAAAAGGGATCTAGGGTTTAGGGTTTAGGGTTTAGGGCGCTATAGGGGTTTTACTTGGAGGTGCAGGGGACCTAGTAAGTCGTTTATAAGTGGGGTTGTAATTGGGGTAACTCCATTTAGGGTACTTATAACTCACTTTACGGATCACGGGACTTAGTAACTACAGGGTTGTAATTAGGGTAACTATACTTATAACTACTGATAACCCCAAGTCAGGTACTCATAACCTTACTAAGTCCCATGATCCTCCAAGTAGACCCTAAACCCTAAACCCTATAGATCCCTTTAAGGAACCCCTATGGAGCCCTCTAAGGAGCCCTTAAAGGAACCCTTACTAAGTCCCATGATCCTCCAAGTAGGGGTTCCTTTAAGGGATCTATACCCAGAGGGTCCATATATACTATATACCATTATGGAATTAGGTCCCAAAAGACCATCCCTATTATGGCTTTGGGGGGGCTAATTCCATAATGGTAGTATATATGGACCCTCTAGGATAGGCATCCTTTCAGGATCCCGTTAGGGTTTAGGGCGTTTAGAGGGTTTAAGGGGTTTGGTGTTTAGGGTGGGGTTTTGGGGTTTAGGGGTTTAGGGTTTAGGGGTTTTGGGCTTCAGGGCTTTAGGGCTTTAGGGGTGTAGGGGTTTGGGGGTGTAGAGGTTTAGGGGTTTGGGTGCAGGGTTTAGGGAGTAGGGGTTTAGGGTTTGGGGTGTGTAGGGCCGCATATTTCGCAGGGATCCAGAAGGGTCTATAATTGATAACAGGATCCCCCTGAAAGGGTACTATAGGGTTCTACATTTTATGATAGGGTCCCCTTGAAGGGTGATAAAGGGGTCTAGAATTTACAATAGGGCCACCTGAAAGGATACTTTAGGGTTCTATTTTCAAGCTCCTTGCCTTGTGGAGGGCTTTAGAGTTTAGGGTTGGGGGTTTCTTTTTCTTTTGTAGTGGTGGGGGTTTAGAGCTTAGGTTCCACGTTCAGGGTTTGCGGTTTAGGGCATGGGGTTTCGAGTTTGGGGTTTAGGGTGTAATTACATTGTTTAGCTTTGTTGTTGTCAGTATTCGTCGTTACTGTTGTTGTGTCTCTTGTTAACTTGTGCCTAGAAATTGTTAACTGTTGCGTTCTTCCATTGTTTGCAATCGTTTATTTCTCAAGGTTGTATAGGGTTGGAATATTTAGTAGGAGTATACCCGGAAACGTTCCTGTAAAGCGCTACCAAAAGATGTTCCCAATCGATGTTTCAATTCTTAAGGCCCTTTCAGCTTTGTAAAAATTGGATCAGGGCTTCTGTTGTGTATAGGGTTTAGGTTTCATTCAATGTCGCCATCAGTACATCGGGTCTATAAGAGTATCTTACTGCTGCATGAGTACACTATTTACGCTTTTGCGCTATTGTTGTCCCTTATGGATCTGAAGGCCAACTAAGACCATAAACCCATAGCTCAACACTCTATGGCCCTAAACCCAAACACCCAAAGCACTAGAGTCATGGTAATAAACCCGAAGGACACCGGAAAGCCCTGAACCCAAATTACATGCAAGTAGGGTTCAAGGCTTTAGGGAAGCCTAAACCCCAAATCTATGGCTGTTTGTGTTTATATAGGTGCTTCCTGCCATAGAGTGCTGAGATAATGGGAGGTATTTCTATTTAATCGCCAAGCGTTCGTAGTGTAGTAATCATTGTAATGATGTACTTAGCCATCATGCCTTAATTAAGCCCCAGACAATATAGTATGCTTCAAGCCCCAAAACTTAAGCTAAAGTCTTCCCTTCAAGCCCTCAACCTTCGAAACCCTAGATTCTACCCATCAAAAACCAGACGCTCCGATGCCCCCTGATTCAGAGATAAGGCTACACAGAAGGGTGATCCTTATCATGATCTCTGTTACCTGCCGAAATATCCGTAAATCTTAACCCTTAAACCCTAAACCCCAAAGCCACGCGGCCCAAAACCCTAAGCCCTAAAGCCCTAAACCCTAAAACCCTAAGCCGAAAACCCGAAAGCGAGAAAGCCATAAAACCCCAAACCCTAAAACCCTAAAGCCTTAAACCGCTAAAGCCCAGCCCCAAACACCCACTATTAAGGACCATATGGGCTCTTTTAAAGGGCCCTTGTCGCGTGCCCTAAACCCTTAAATCCTTATGATAAGCCCTAAACCCTTATGGTGAACCCTAGAAGGCCCTAAACCCTAAAGCCCTGTAAAAGCATAACACCAGTGAATATTATCCAAATAAATGGCAATGATGAATATGCAATGAACGTAATACTAAGTTTAAACAATCACTTCCAAAATTATATGGTGATATGCCTTGTCAAAATTATGGTCCCTTTTTGGGTCCATATTATAATACGGCACCTATTATTTAAGGTACCCAAAAAGGGTACCTACATGCCTTGCGCTGCAGCCACCTGCTCGAGAGTTTTTCCCCTTGCCACGGAGAATCTCATGGATTCTGAGGTCGCCTCCCTGGATACCAGGCTCACTTTCGGGGTTGCGGACCACTATGGGCTATTAGACCCTAAAGATCCCTATTCGGACCCTATTAAGGGTAGATTAAGGTACCCATAAGGTCTAACAGCCCATAGTGGGAGTTTAGGGTTCACGGGTTTAGGGTCTTGAGTTGGAAAAACATCAGACACTGTCCCGAAAAGGACCCTCAGAAGGGAGACTAATTTAGAGAAATGCCCATATCGTTTATGTTTTGCCTGAGAGCGGTTGCTATACACAGTAACGTTCGGACTATTGACATACTCCGCATGGGCCTGGACCGTCGGGAAGCCCGTGTAAAGATGTACAACACGAAATTCAACACACATGTAATTCAACAAGTCTTATTGAATGACTCATTATCTGTTAATAGAGCAGAAGAGTAGATCAGAACCAATCTTGTGTACTGTAAAGGTATGTGCTACAATACTGCAACGTGGCAGCAACCCTCGAAGGAACCCCCTGGGTCGATCCCTAAACCCAAAACCCTCAGCCCCCCAGGCTGGATGACAGCTTTCTCGTGGTAACGGCCGTCTTTCAGACGCTCTTCATCTGCAGGATGGTATACTCGTGTTGTCGCCATCGACGCTTCCTTCAAGAAAGGCTTTGGGTTATGCAGTCGCAGGGTTGGAGGGTGTTAGGTGTGTCGCGTATATACGACTGCGTTTACTTAAGGGTTCGGGGTTTTAGGGTTTTAGCGGGTTGGATCTCATACGTAAGTCAAGAGTTGAATTTGTTTACAAATGGTGTCTGGGTACTTCAAACTGGTTGTCAGCCGTTCTCTCGCTGAAACTGAGCAAATAAGGGCAATATATTTCGAACGCGGCCCAAGAAGTCATAAAGGCGATCGGGCAAGCCTTCCGTCAGCAGTCGAATGTGGACAACCGAAAATTTGTTCTACAAGAGGTATATGAAATCCGCGGGTATATGGCACGGGTGTATTTCAGATATTTGCTGACAATTTTTTCCTTGCTGCTGTTCGTGGTGCAGTGGCGAGTGTTCTACAAACAAGACCGGTATTCATCCGCTCTGACTGCCTGGACCTGGACAGCAGTATTTGGAGCTTGCGGAGTGGTAGAGATGTATCCATCTGTCATCACTGTGAAGAGACTTAATGCTCCGTGGTCAGCATTGCTGGGTTCTTCAAGAGCATAGCTGAAGGGGACTACTGAGATCAGCAACTACGGTATCTTACATTAAAATCCCTAACAAGAACCCAGATTGCGGTGGAGGGAAAGCAGTCGCTCAAACACCTGCACCACAAACTGTAAAGCTTGAAACCATGGTAAACTCCGGCTTAGCTTCAGGGTTTAGGGTGTATTCGGATCTTATACATGAGTCCTATGAAGCCCTCTTGCACTAGAATCACCGCAGAGGGTACCCTGGTTAGGCGTTCTTGAAAACTCCATCCTGCCATCACTGGTCCTTCCCCATAGGGTCCAAGTATCATTCTGGTATATACTTATAGGGCATTTTGGGGGGTCTAAGTATATACCATGATGATACTTGGACCCTTTGGGTTCATTCTCTAACATTCTCAGACCTACACACCTTACAAGCCTGCAATACTACCTTGTAGATTGGCCGATAACAGCAGAAGGCGCCTTAGGCTCATCTCCCTACGACCCTGTAGAGGCTTGAATGATTAGCAATATTATTATGCCCTATTCACTCCCGGTTAGGCGGTTGAACAAGAAGCACTATGTAAATTGTTAAGGCCCCTAAACCTGGCCCTAGATCCAGGCTGTGTATCTGATAGTTTCACTTTGCTGGACAGCGCATATGTCGCCTTGGCACGTCCAGGCGGATCGCACTGTGGAATCTGTGCTTGCAGACGAGTATGTTTTATGTATGATATACTCTTTGGTAAGGGGAGGATGAGTTTATTGAAGTTTAAGGTTGTTGAGGCTCGGATCTGTGTTTTTTGTTGACGTTTGTTGGGGTTTCGGGCCCCTTGTCCGGAACTTCCAAACATGTCCAGATCCATGCCGCATGGTTCTGGGTTTTCGGGAGTGCAGATGCCGAATGATGGAGGCCAGTGCATGATCATCACATGCACGATTTCGAGCTTTGTGCCTCTGTGATGCCCAATAGCCACGATGTAAGGCTTGTGTTATAACCCAGAGGGTCCATATATACTACCATTATGGAATTACGTCCCAAAAGACCATCCCTGTTATGGCTTTGGGGGGCTAGTTCCATAATGGTAGTATATATGGACCCTTTAGGTAAGTAAGTCATTCAAGCGATCTCTTTTCAGCTTACCATGGGCCCTACACATCACTACTGTGGATGGACAATATCCTGCATGACCCAATATAAGGAATATGCCATAATTACCATAGTTTAGGATCCTTAACATGCAGGATTTTGTCCATCACGAGTGTGGGCATCACGTGGGTTAAGATCCTTTGTCCAGTTTTGTCTTCGGGCCGCAACTTCTGCAAGAGAGGGCTTGGGTTCTGGGCCAACCCACAACCTCATACCCTAAACCAAGGGTCCAAAGGACCCGATTGAGAGACTGTATGATTATTAGGTACTTGGACCCTCGGGGCTAACCCCTTCTCCTTAACCCCTTCATAGGGATCCTTAGGGGTGTAGGGGGGAGGGGTGTAGGGGACTATATTTCCTTAAATAGGCCTTATTAGTCCTTATTATGGGCCTTAAGGCCCCCTACCCCCCCTCCCCCTACACCCCTAAGGATCCCCATGACCCCTACAATCCTGAACCCCGAAGGCCCTTATTAAATCCCTGGTTTTAGCGGTTGTATGTTTTTTTTCTTACGTGAGCACCGTTTTAAGGACACGCGGGCTCAATATGGGATACCCTAATGAGAGGATTCGGGCCCCACCAAAACCCTGTGATGGTGGTGAAGGCACCTTTGCCGTAACAACACTACAATGACCCTTTAAAGGAGCCCTTACAGGAGAGACCTAAACCCTAAACTCCATCCGAAGCCTAGGACAACTCTTTGTTCTTTTTGATCCTCTTTCGGCTACCAGCAGTGTGCATCGCCCCTTGGTAAGCCTTGGAGATTGTGCATGCGTGTTGTTTGGTGTCTTGTTTTTTGATGTATATTGAGAGGATTCACGGCTTCCTAGACAGGCCGTTGGGTCTGGTTCAACAAGCAAATCAGAGATGTTAGCCAAAGCATGTTCTACAAGGGCCCATTCTGGTTCTTCGGTGGGCCTTTGGGGTGAGACCTGTTTGTGCAACCCTTAGGCTCCTAGGGCTCAGATTTTACGGCTTTGGGCCCAAAGTCCACAGTATATATATATATATATATATAAGGTTTCTGAGCTTTGTTGAGTTTCGGGTTTAGGGTGTTTGCCTTGTTGAGCTCAAGAGGATCTGATTTGTTTCCAAGCAATTTTCACTTGGAAATATCTTTCATGCTTCGTTAATGTAACCCCTAAGAACCTACTCAAGTAACATGGTACCAAGATCAGTAAACCCCAGAGATTTCAAAGCCCTAAACCCTAAAGCCGTAAAACCCTGAACCCTAAACCATAGCCCATCATAGGAGGCCAAAAGAGGTTTTAGCCTATGGGGGTTTAGTAGGGATTAGGGTTCCCGTCATATTAAGGAATCCCTACACCAAGAATCTGAAACCCCCTTTTGGCCTCCCATCAGCCAACCCCAGGCCACCACACCGGCTCTCGTCGCTGGATGCAGCTCGCTGCATGCGCTGGTGATACTGCTGCGGGCAAGTACAGAGGCCCGCCAAGGACTTTTCCTGACATCTCCCGACCCTGAGCCCGAAATATTCCCAAACCCTAACTCTAAGGCTCAAAATAGCCCCAAAAGCCGTACATACTATGGTCTTTGTGCCCAAAAGCCAGAAGCCTTAAAATCTGAGTCCGTAGAGCCTAAGGGTAAGCCCACATAAACCCCAAGAGCTGAATGCCCCCAATCCCGCGCCAAACCCTCACAATCGAAGCAGTAAGCCCTCGTGCAGAGGCCTTACCGCCAGCAACGCTTTTCACCGAAATCAGCGGATTCATTGCCATGGTCTCCGCATCCGCGTCAGTGCAGCTGTACCTGATTCGCAGAGTCGAGCGTAGATTGAAATACAAGAAGATGGCAACTGACTTTAACGCTGCATCCTCTCTGCTGCACCTTACTTGTGATTCCATGACCCTTGGCCATTCTTAGGGATCCGTTGTGTTTTCTGGTTGTTTTGGTGGGTCAAATTTCCCAATTACAGGGCCTGCAAGAAGGATCCTAGCCTCTACTTGGAGGGTCGGGGGACTTAGTAACTGGGTAGTAAGTAGACTTATAAGTACCCTAAGAGGGATCCTAATTGGGGTTATGGTACTTATAACTCTACAAAATAACTACTTAGTAAGTCCCCCGACCCTCCAAGTAGACTCTAACTTACCCAAAGGGTCTTTCAAACCCCTGAAGCACTAAACCTGAGCTCCATAATCCCCAAAGCCCTAAACCCCTAGAGACTCCTACTATTTGCTTAAGAACCCCCCCCCCCCAAAAAAAAATAGAAATAATAATCCCTATATTACCCCCCATAAGGAATATACTTTTTTATTTTTTGGGGGGTTCTTAAGCAAATAGTAGTATAGACTCTGAAGCCCGATACCCCTAAACCCTCTAGACTTCGAAACAATAACTCAACAGCTGCCCCTACCTAGACCCCCCCAACTGCCTTCTAAAATATTCTAGTAAATACTCACGATTAAGGACCACAAGGGCTCTGTTAAAGGGTACTTGGGGGGTCTTTGTAAACCCTAACCCCCCAAACCCTGAACCTTAATCCCTAACCCTTAAACCCCAAACCCCAAACCCTAAACCCCTAAACCCTAAACCCCAAACTCTAAACCAACCCCTAAGCCCTAAACCCCTAAACCCCAAACCCCTAAACCCCTAAACCTTAAACCCCTAACCCCTAAACCCTAAACCCCTAAACCCCTAAACCCCAAACCCTAAACCTAAACCCCTAAACTCCCAAACCCCCAAACCCTAATCCCCAAAAACCCTAAGACTAAGATCCAGGATCCAGGCACCCAATAATCATATACTCCCCAAAGTCCTTACCTACATAGCTACTATCCTAAAACCGAGTACCTGATTATTAGGTCCTTTGGACCCTTCAAACCCTACTATAAAATCCTCTCTAAAGGAGTCCTAATAAACCTTTAAGGGGATCCCAAAGTACCTAAGCATTGGGTCCTTAGGACCCTTGGGGTCCTTCGGGTAAGATCCAGTAAACCTGAAACCCCTCAACCCCTAAACCCCAAACCCCCAAACCCTGAACCCTAAACCCGCAACCCCTAATTCCCCAACCCTGAATTCCCCAAAAATCCTGAGACTAAGGCTCAAAATAGCCCAAAAGCCTTATATAGTATGGTCTTTGGGCCTAAACGCCTTAAAATGTGAGTCCTAGGATCGAGCTCGACGCAGAGTTCCGAATCTCGGAGCACTCGCCTGGACTCGCGGCCATGATGCTCCCTTGCTCCTAAGAAAGGCTTGGGTTTTAGGGTTTAGGGTTTAGGGTTCAGGGTTTAGGGTTTGGGGTTCAGGGTTTAGGGTTTCGGGTTTGGGGTTTGGGGTTTAGGGTTTAGGGTTACCCTTAGGCTCTGAGGGCTCCTACAGGGCTCCTTTAAAGGGATCTATAAGGGGTCCTTTAAAGGGATCTATAGGGTTTAGGGATCTAAGGACTCATATTTTAAGGCGTTTGGGCCCAAAGACCATAGTATGTAAGGCTGTTGGGCTATTTTGAGCCTTAGGGTAAGGGTTAGGAGGCCAGCTACCTAGTAGTAGAGAAGCTAACCTTTAAACTTTTTTTGGGCAGTATAGTCCCTGTATAATCCCTATATACCCCAAGAAGTTAACTTTGAGTTCCCTGATACCCGACAAGTAGGCAGGCTTAGGGTGCACCCTAAGGCTCCAAAGAGGGTCTTGGGCTCTCTGGGGGAGGGTTTCGGCTTTGGGGGCTAGGGTCCGGGTTCTCACTACAAGGGTCCAGGAGCCTTAAGGTAGAGCTTTAACTTTTTCTGGCACCTGCTTCTTAATTCAAGGGAACCACTATGAAATACAAGAAGGCCTATTCCTAAGTCCTACGAAAGGCTTAGGGTTTTAATTAGAGTTTAGGGGTTTAGGGCTTAGGGTTTACATAGGGGTTTAGGGTTTAAGGGCTTAGGTTCTAGGTTTTAGGGTCTACGGGTTTAGGGTATAGGGTGGGTTCCTGTGTAAGATACGGGTTTCTACAAGGATTTAGGACCAGTGCAATTTGTTTGCGTCTATTATAGTCTCCTCTCAACGGGTCGAAAAGGCAGTGACCTGCTGTTTTGCTCGGGTTTGGAGGTCTAGGCAAGGGTTTCTACAAGGCCTTTTGCAATGTGTCCTGTTATCGGGTAACCTGGGGATCAAACTACCCCAAACGCCTTGTATACTTTAGAAGCTGCCCCCACGCTGTAATAGTGGTATAATAGGAATATAATAGGGCCGTAATATAACCCTCTTTAATCCTTATGGTCACTATTACAGGGTGGGGGCAGCTTCTAACATATAGTATGATCTTTGGGCCCAAATGTCTGAGTCCTTGAAGCCCGAGGGTTCGGGTTCCTATAACCCCAAGGGTCCAAGTATTGAAATATCATAGACTCTCCAAAATAGTATATAAGCCACATAACTACTATCCTAAACCCAAGTACCTTGTTATTGGGTCCTTTGGACCCTTCCCTAAACCCCGAAACCCCCCAACACTCCTATATAAACCCTAAACCCCTAAACCCCTTTGTAAACCCTAAACCCAAGCTTATTATTATTGGGTCCTTTGGACCCTTAGGGTAAAGGCTTAAAGCCCCCCCAAAACGCCCCTTTAAAGCCCCCGAAGCCCCTGAAGAGCCCAAAGGCTCGTTGGCACAAAACCCTGCCACGACGAAACCCTAAGCTGCCCTACCTAGAGGCTTGCCCAAAGTAGTTCCTTCATATATAGAATCCTAAGGTAGTCCCGAAAAGGAACTACTATGGGGCTTCTGGGTAAATCCTAAATTAAAACGGACAAAGAAATCATATTAGGGAGCATTCAAAAACGGAAGGTTGTTTAGGGTTAAGGCAAGCCCCAAATCCTAAACCCTAAACCCTACCACGCCCTAAACCCTAAACCCTAAACCGAAATCCTAAACCCTAAACCCTACCACGCCCAAAGCTTGAACCCTAAACCCAGGCTCCGGGGTACAAGTTCAACCTTGGCTGGACGAGATTTTGCGGATCTCCTCACAGGTGCCGCTGAAGCCGCCTCCTGGGTCTCAGAGTGGTCCCAGAGACTCCAATATCCCTTCATTAAGGAATATTCCTTAAATTATAGTAGGATCCCTTATATGATTTAAGGAATCTTCCTTGATTAAGGGATATTGGAGTCTCTGGGGTAGGGTCTAAGAGTGGTGCCTAGAGGGTCCAAGTACCCAAATAGTGGGGTTTCAGGGCCCAAAATCCATACTCTGAATGGTTTTTGGATCTTGAAACCCTACTATTTGGGTACTCGGACCCTTAGGGGTACACATTTTGGGGGAGTCTAGGGTTTAGGGTAAGTTACTGTCCGGTGCTTCGGTTGATGATATAAATCCTGCATTACCCATAACAAGGAATATACCATAATCCCCGTAGTTTAGGGTCCTTAAGGTAGGGATTGGGGGAATGGATCCCTATGATAGTCCATTCAAGTACCCCAAAAGGAGTCCCTTAATGGGGGTTCCTATAAAGTACCCTTGGTAGTATAGGGCCCCAAATTACGGGATCTACTTTCTAGTTTTTTTTTGCGGGGTCTGGGATAAGAACCAGACGGAAAGTTCCCTTATCGATCCCTTATAGTAGCCTTATAGACCCCTTTAAAGGAACCCTATTCTAATTATTAAGCAAACCCTGAAACCTTAAACCCTGAAAGCTTGAAATACCCTTAAAGGAGCCCTTTAACGAACCAAGGCCCCCAAAAGTCGGAGTAAGAGCCCGAAACCCCTATAGTATAACCCTTGAGGAACCCTTACCCTTAGGCTCTAAGGACTCATATTTTAAGGCTTTCGGGCCCAAGGACCATACTATATAAGGCTTTTGGGCTATTTAGAGCCTTAGGGTTAATAGAACGTTTAAAGGAAGTATTCCCTACTAAGAGCCAGACAGCTTAGGGCCGCGTCGTGGAGCTCTTGCGGCGCTTCGAGGACCTTCCTGCGGACCGCGTGCACGCCCAGGTGGAGCCCAGAGACTCCAATATCCCTTCATTAAGGATCCCTTAAAATGATTTAAGGAATATTCCTTAAATTATAGTAGGATCCCTTATATGATTTAAGGAATATTACGGAATATTCCTTAAATTATAGTAGGATCCCTTATATGATTTAAGGAATATTACGGAATATTCCTTAAATTATAGTAGGATCCCTTATATGATTTAAGGAATATTCCTTAAATTATAGTAGGATCCCTTATATGATTTAAGGAATATTCCTTAAATTATAGTAGGATCCCTTAAAATGATTTAAGGAATATTCCTTAAATTCTAGTAGGATCCCTTAAAATGATTTAAGGAATATTCCTTAAATTATAGTAGGATCCCTTATATGATTTAAGGAATATTACGGAATATTCCTTAAATTATAGTAGGATCCCTTATATGATTTAAGGAATATTACGGAATATTCCTTAAATTCTAGTAGGATCCCTTATATGATTTAAGGAATATTCCTTAAATTCTAGTAGGATCCCTTAATATGATTTAAGGAATATTCCTTAAATTCTAGTAGGATCCCTTAAAATGATTTAAGGAATATTCCTTAAATTCTAGTAGGATCCCTTAAAATGATTTAAGGAATATTCCTTAAATTCTAGTAGGATCCCTTAAAATGATTTAAGGAATATTCCTTAAATTCTAGTAGGATCCCTTAAAATGATTTAAGGACTATTCCTTAAATTCTAGTAGGATCCCTTAAAATGATTTAAGGAATATTCCTTAAATTCTAGTAGGATCCCTTAATATGATTTAAGGAATATTCCTTAAATTCTAGTAGGATCCCTTAAAATGATTTAAGGAATATTCCTTAAATTCTAGTAGGATCCCTTAAAATGATTTAAGGAATATTCATTAGTTAAGGGATATTGGAGGCGCAGGTGGAGGGCTCCTCCTAAGGATTTGGTTGCCTTTAAGGGCTTTGGAAAGGGGGGTTTTTTAGGGGTTCCTTTTAAAGGGATCTATGAGAGTCTCGGGGGTTTAGGGGTTTAGAGGGCGTCGGGGTTTAGGGGCTCAGGGTTTAGGGTCTAAGGCCTAAGGATTTGGTTGTGTGTTGGTTCAATGGTCCCTGTAAGGGGCCTTTATGGGTTTGATGGAGGGGATCAGGGATTGGGGTGTTTGTCTTGCAATGGTCCATTGATAGAGGGGATTCGGGATTCTGTTGGTTGTTCCATGGTTCCTTTATGGGTTTGAGTGGGATCAGGGGGTAGTGTTGAGGGGGGCTAGGGAGAAGGATCCCTTAAAGGAATCCGCGAAGACCTCTTAAAGGAACCCTATATGAGACCCCGAACCCTATGAGACCCCTCGAAAGGAACCCGTCAGGACCCCTTAAAGGAACCCTTCCCTTGCAGAACCCCCTTGAAGGAACCCGCAAAGACCCCGTATACAAGGCCTGAGAGACCCCTTATAGGAACCCTTACACCTTAAAGACCCCGTAAAGGAGCCCGTGAAGCTTAACAGAACCTTACAGGAACCCTTAAAGACCCCTGAAAGGAGCCCTTACTTATTGAAGACCCCCTTTAAGGGTTTGATGGGTTTTGGTGTTTGGGGATTAGGGCCCAGGGATATGTGTTCAAGGGTTCCTTTCAGGATTTGATAGGGTCTCGGGCGGCCTGCACAACACCATGCATCCTTACCCAAAACCCCCTACCCCATAGCCGAAGCTTAAAGTTGTTTTCGGGTTTACGGATTAGCGTTCAGGGTTTAGGGTTTAGGTTCTCGGTGTTGGCCTGGGGGCTGGAAGGGTTCTGCTACACGTGGTATAGGCTTTCACAACAAGGAATACTCAAAAGATGTCCTCTTGAAAGGTTCTCTTACTTCAGGAGTTACAATCAAGAGACTGACGCCTTACGGTCGAAAATCCCCAAACCCTTCGCCCGACCCGAAACCCTGGGCCCAAAATCATAAACTCCGAACATAAGGGCCTGAGTAGTTAGTGTTTTCACCCGCCTTGTAGTGCTTATGTGGTTATGCTAAGCCCTATGCTAACGCTTACACCCCTTACCCTAGGGCTCTAAGGACTCTTTTGTTAAGGCTTTCGGGCCCAAAGACCATGGTTTTTTGGGCTATTTGGATCCTCAGGGTCGTATTTTAGAACCCTTGGAAGGACCTCTTCAAGGAAACCTATGCTAGGACCTAGAGCAGGCCCTTGTTCCCGTTTTAAGGGTTCTGGTTCCCTTACAAGCCCTTTAAGCCAAAAAGGGTACCCTTTTTCTTCATGGGTTACTCTTGGGTCTAGTATTGAACTCACCTTAGGAGAAAACTGGCTCCCAAGCCTTGGCAATAAGCAAAGCAGTAGGGAAACTACTCGACTCTGAATGGTTTTGGTATCCAATTTTGTTTTTATATTTGAACCTTTCTGGGAACTTTCATTTCAACCGTACTTGGAGCGATCCTTCATAGTAGTTGAAGTATATTCCTGAACGCAGGCCTTCCACACGCACTTGATGGATGGCGATTCCAACAGATTTCGGACGGAAGTCTTCCAGGTGAGGTATCACACGCCACAAGGCAGGGCTTAGGGTTCGCGGTTTAGGCCTTATAAAGGGGTCTATAAGGGTTACTAGAAGGGATCTATAAGGGTACTATAATATAGGGGGCTTAATAATCCTATAACTTACCTTTGGTTAGTAGGGAATGGAGGAATGGGGTAACACTATAATTACTATTACTACCATTCTTGCGTTCCCTACTAACCAAAGGTAAGCTTAGGGTTCGGGGTTTAGTGTGTAGGGTTTAGGCTGCAGGGTTGAGGGTTTCTTTAGGCGTTGTCGTCTTGTTTCGATTAGTACAGGCCTGAGGCACCTTCTTTGATGGATTCCCTAAGGCTCCAAGTACCTAAGTATCATACGGGTTTAGGGGTTCGGGGTTTAACGGGTTAAGGGTTTAGGGTTTGAGAGTTTTAGGGGTTTGAGGGTTTGTGGTTTAGGGGTTTTGGGGTTTAGGGTTCATATACTCTCCAAAATACTAGCCTACATAACTACCACCCCAAAACCGAGTACCTAGTGAATGGGTTTAAAGGACCCTCATGGATTCCTGTTTAGGAGTACCCCGGCCTTAAACCCAAGAGCCGGGAGCCCTTCCCTAAACCTTATAGACCCTTAGGATGCTGAAGGGGTTTGGATCCATCCTTTATGGGTTTAGGGGTTTAGGGTTTGGGGCTTGTGGTTTAGGGTTTGGGTTTAGGGTTTAGGGGTTTAGGGGTTTAGGGGTTTAGGGGTTTAGGGGTTTAGGGGTTTAGGGTTTAGGGGTTTAGGGTGTGCGGCTTGTGGTTTAGGGTTTAGGGGTTCAGGGGTTTGGGGCTTGTGGTTTAGGGTTTGAGTTTAGGGTTTAGGGGTTCAGGGTTCCCTAAACCCCTAACCCCTAAACCCTAAACCTTGAGCCCTACCACAAGGCCATGCAAGACACCTTCTCGGCTTGCGCGATGTCACAGACCAGGACTTGGGTCCGAAAAGGGTGTACCTGGGGATCCAAAAACCTTCCCAAAGGGTCCAAGTACAATTTTTGTAGGTACTTGGTAGGTATTTGGGCGCCCAAAGTATAGACTATACTATTACTTGGACCCTTTGGGCGTACTGTTTTTAGTGTTATACCCTCTTATTAAGGTGCCATAACCTACTATTTTGTAGGGATTGGGGATACAGGTGAGGTTTTGGACAGGGATTCAATACCGGACCTGGCAACTTGTCTTTTTCACGCTGATGTTTAGTAGAGAGGAGCGAAGCTACAGAGGAGCAAAGCACTGCCTGGCACAGGGCCACAACAATAAAATTCCCTACAACCCCAAGAACCCTGTCAATCCCTAGTATAGACTCTTACAGAAACCCTGCCCTAAGGGTCCAAGTACTCAGGATTACAATACTTGTGTGCCTATTTAGGTACCAAAAGCCATAACACGGACTACTTCGGTTGATGATAGAAATCCTGCATCACCTTAATGACCCTAGACTATGGGAATTAGAGTATATGCTTTAGTATAGGTAATGCAGGATTTACATCATCAACCGTTGGACCCTTACGGCTGGTAGCGCAAAATAGACTAAGAGCTGCCAGGAGTCTTTGTCGTTATTGGGCAGCAAAAACGTGGAGAGCTTGTCCGTCGCCCCACTGTCTTTCACGCCGATGTCTGCGGGAGCATGTAGCTCCCTCGGCACGCAGTCAAAAAGCCCACATAGTCCAAGCCGTGGCGCGGCTACAGTGGAAGTGGTGGCTGATGAGAGATACCTGTCGCTTTTGATCGACATGGACCCTTGCTCTCATTTTTTTGGTATTATAGAAATTTGGGACGTGATTTTGGTGGTGTCTTTTTTGCGTAATGTGAGGCTACGGCTACGGGGCGAAGTGTCTACATATCCTTACACCCTAAACCCCTAAACCCGAAGCCCGTAAACCCCTAAACCCTAAACCCCTAAACCCTAAACCCCTAAACCTTAAACCCCTAAACCCTAAACCCTAAACCCCCTAAACCCTAAACCCTAAACAAGTCACTCAGGACCTTCAGCTCATCCACGCATCATCTCAACCTGCCTTCCTTGGCAAACGTCCGGCAGATTTCTTTGCCACTGGAGAAGCTGGGTTTGTGAGTTTTGTGAGTTTTGGGCCGTCTGGGATACAAGTGCAAGGTATAATTATACACTCAACCCCCAACCGGGAAGTCTGCAAGCCTATAGGCCCAAATCCCTGCAGCTAAGGAAATCGAGCTGCTTGAAAGCTACATGGCTGAAGTGCGCAACCACGCTGCAATTCGGTATAGTTTTTGTTTGGTCATCATTGGTCTTAAATTTAGACTCCAATATGCCTGCAGAAGTAGTGTTACTGTTCTTGAGGTTGTGATACTGTTCTTGAGGTACCTTAATAAACCGCTACCTTGATTTTTTTCAAGACCCAAGACGAGCCAAGGCTTGTAAAATGCAGTAGCGGTCCCTCAAAACCACATACTCTCCCGGATACTAACCTACATAACCACGCTCCTAAACCCTAAACCCTAAACCCTTTACAAATCCCTGAGGGAGCCCCTTAAGGGCATTATGGGGTTCTACAAAAGGGCTCCCTTTCTAGGAGCCCTTAAAGAAACCCTTACGAAAAGAAGCCAGCGAAGGATCCTTTAAAGGAGCCCCTAGGACCCAGAGTAGGCCCTTGTTCCCTTTTTAAGGGTTCTGGTTCCCTTACAAGCCCTTTAAGCCAAAAAGGGTACCCTTTTTCTTCATGGGTTACTCTTGGGTCCAGGCCCTTATATAGACCCCTCTTACAAATCCCATGAGAGAGCCCTTTAAAGGAGCCCTTAAAGGAACTCTAAAAGAACCCTAAAGGAGCCAGCAAAAGATCCGTTAAAGGAGTCCTTCCTGTTGGGGTTTTGTTGGACCTTGTCCGTTGCTCTCCCAACCAGCAGCTCCCTTATGCGGCTGATGATGTAAATGGGAGATTCCGGAAATTGGGCGTACCTTGTTTTGGGGTCCTTGTGATAAGAATCTTACGATCTAGGGACACTGTCTTAGGGCCCCCTATTTTCGGAAACTCCCCTAATGGCCCTAGACTGGCTTTAGACTATGGGAATTATCGCATATATGTTGTTATGGGCAATGCTGCATTTTTTAAAGCATCAGCCGTCGCTGCTTTTTGTCTGTTACCTCTTCTTTGATTTCGGGTCGGGAGCCCAAAAACGCTACTTACAGCATTTGGCCACAAATCCCCAAACCCTATTGTAGAAGCCAGAAAGTTGGAACATGACTTTAGGAGGATTAGTGCTAGGATCCCTTATACTTTACCTTAAGGGTATGAGGATAATGATGTTCCAACTTTCTGGCTTCTGCTGTAGACCATAACGAAGGAAGTACCACAGAGATGACATTTAAAACCCGGTAGCCAAAAGTGTGTCCCAAACCTGTGACCCTCAACCAAACCCTCAAGCCTTAGCTTTGTCCGCAAACCCTAAGCCTAAACTATAACCGAAACCCAAACTGTATCCTAAACAATACCCCGCACTCTAAACCTTCAGCTACACGGCATCTCAAGGAGGACCCTGTACTGAAAGTACAAACGGAACCCAAAAGCGAGCCCTTCTAGTAGCCCTTTTAAATCCCAAAAGCCACCAGGATGCCCAGTAGTACCCTCATTCCCTTTTTGTAGTCCTAGGTTCCTAGTTGCCCAATACCAAGCAGGGAGCCCTTCTTACTCCTAGATTCCTTGGCATCCTAGAAGGCTTTGGGTTTAGAACTTTAACTTTTTCTGGGACCTGTATCTTCATTCTTTAAAGGGAACCATTATGAAATACAGGAAAGCCTGGTCCATAAAGAACCGAGTAGAAGCCTTGCTAGGCCATGAACTAGAAGGGAACCTGCAGGCCATGTCACAATGTACAGTCCAGAAGCTTTGGAATGAACCGGGCTTCCCCCATCAAACCCTAAGCCTAAACCCTACAACTCTCAAACGCTAAAGCCTTAAAACCCTAGAGCCCTAAAGCCCTAAACCCTGACGCCCTGAACCCTAAAGCCCCAAAACCCTAGACCCCCAAAAAATTCGCCCCAATAAACCCATCGGCCTCGGCGCGCCCCAGGTACCTGAAGGACGAAATGACCCTTAAAAGTAGGGGCCCTATACCCATATACTATGAATCCCTATATGGTATATGCGGTTTAGGGTTTAGGGTTTAGGGTTTTTCGGTATATGAACCTTAAACCCTTTTAGGCTTCATTTCGCCCCAGGTAAGGGGAGCTCTGCTTTGTCCTTCTCGGCCTTGGAGATCCAACTCGGCCCATCGTCTCCCTTGGAATTCATTTTTTCATTTTTGTTCATATAACCCTAGGGCTCTAAGGGCTCATATATTAAGGCAATTAAGGCGTTGAGGCTCAAAGACCATAGTTTTCTTTTTTTGGTTCAAAGAACAACACCACCCAGGAGAATGTTAACCATAGGAATTCCTTTATAGTCTCCTTAGGAGTTGTTCTTTCTTTTTGTTCATAGAACCCTGGGCATCAAAATAGCCCAAAAGCCTTATATAGCATGGTCTTCGGGCCCAGAGCCCTAGGGTAAGATACAACCCAAGAGAATAGTAAACATAGGAATTTTTTTCTTGTTTGTTTATATAAAACCCAAGAGAACATCAACACGAGTATCTTTATTGTGGTTCTAAGGGGGGTGTAGCGGCAGCCAAGTGCAACTCCCGGAGCTGCTGCGCCTTGGTAAAAAAAGGCGAGATGCGAAGGTTTCTCTGTGTTCCTTCATCAGGGGATGAATAGGGGCTCCTTCCAAGGGATATAAGGGTACCTAGTGATCCATAAGGGCTACTTGATTGAAAGGGAGCGAAAATGGCTTCTATAAGGGCGGGTGTTTAGGGTCCTGGGATTTACAGTCCTTGTAGAAAACTGGGGTTTGGGGCTTCAAGGATATATAATGATATATAGGGTTGACTGAAAGGGTCACTGTAAAGTTTATAGCATAGGGGCCGCGACGATTCGAATGGACTTCGGGGACGAAAGGAAAATGAGGCTATAATGTACATGAGCCCTAAGCCATAAAACCCTAAACCATAAAGCCATAAACCCTAAACCTTAAACCTTCAACCCTAAACCGTATTGGGACAGACGAGGACGGTCAACGGCACCATTCAGATCGTACAAGCATCTGGAGCTCGCTATTTCCTGATGGTTTGTGACATTCCTTTGGTCAGTTTCACAGCTCCCGGTGGGGGCATTTCAGCTGACACGACTGACGGTGAATACGTGTCGGTGACCTTCTGAACTCATGCTTTTGGCACGGCATGCGGGAGTGCAAAAGCGCGCCTGCGAGCAGAGGTTCCGAGGTGGACGCTGACCCAACATTCCTCGGTAATGTTATGCGGGATACTTCCCAAAATTATGCTAGTAATTCCTTTCTGTTTTTTTTGAAACCCTACATTCTACTACATAGCTACTTGGACCCTTTGGGTGAGAGCTGTGTCACTGTCAGCATGGTGCAGGACGAGGGCTACCATGTTCAGTCTAGTTTCAGGCTTGGCTACAGTTCAAGTTTCACCTTGGTGTTAAAGTTGCGGGCTGTGCGGCTTCGCACCGGGTCCTGTGGCACTGAATCCTTCCACAGAGGCTGCGTCTGTAGGGGTTTACAGGATTTGTACATGGTATAAACATGCCCTACCCTCCGTACTTAAGGAGTATGAGGCTTGAACTTCACTGGGCTTGTGTTGTGATTGAAGGTGCTTCCATATTGTCATGGCATTGTTCGCCGATAATGATGAAACTGTCGATGGTGAGTACAAGTGTGATGCTCCGGATGACCAGGATGACAAGATGCGCGTGTTGATGTTGTTGAGAATGATCTATGATGACTCGCCCCGAGGGTCCAACTGTTCCTTTTTATGGTTTTAAGTACCGAGAAAAGACCAAAAGTACAATGATATTGAGTACTTGGAACCTTATAAGGGTCAAAGGTTAAGATGTTCTTGACGACGTTGATGGTGATAACGCCTGCGAAACCCAGAGGCTCCAAATCCCCTCGATGAAGGCCTCCACCTCAAGCAGGCAATAGCCTCATATGATTGCAGATCTAACCAAGAAGGTCCGTATATACTGTTATTATGGAATTAGGCTGCCAAAACCATAGTAGTGCTGGTCTGTTGTGACCTAATTCCATTCTTGTAGTAGTATATATGGACCCTCTAGGTAAGTGAAATTCGCTTACATTACGGTGTTGGGAGTTTCTGGGCATCCCCACAACCCTAAGCCTTGCAATTGTACACTACTGAACCCAAAACTCTAAGCCTCGCTATTCCAAACTTGTCCTAAGAGAGCCCAATACCCCTTCATCAAGTAATACACCTTACCGTAAGGTAAAAGCCAGAAAGTTGGAATATGATTATCCTAAACCCGTTATGGTAAATTATAGGGTATCCTACCCTGAAACCATATTCCAACTTTCTGGAGTTCCCTTTAATGCTCCTGGACCCTTCCCGAAATTACGGAATGCACCTCAAATTACCGGGGCCTGGAGGTTATGATTTACCCTAAGGCTCCTAAGAGGGTCTTGGGCTTTCTGGGGAGGGTTTTTGGCTTTGGGGGCCAGGGTTCGGGATCTCACTACAGTATCTACTATTTGCTTAAGAACCCCAAATAAATAAAAAATATATTCCTTATGGGTGTAATATAGGGATTATTATCTATGTTTTTTTGGGGTTTCTTAAGCAAATAGTAGGTATTGGGCTCTCTGGCTCCGGGCTCTATGGGTCCGTGCAGGTTGCCTTTAAGGCTTTTCCGGGTCAGCCCTACTTGGAGGATCATGGGGCTTAAACAGTGCACTTATAAGTACTTTAGCTCGGGGTTATAGGCAAGTATAAGTAGAGCTACCTGATTTGTAAGGGGTATCGTATTTTTAAGTGCCCCTCCCCTTCTGGGGGTTTATCGGAGTTTAGGATTTAAGGTTGATAACTTAGGACCCTGCCAAGTGCTGCTGCCGCAGTGCTCGAGATCCTCGCCGTTTCCTCCGGCTGTGCCCCGCGCCCGCGATGCTGCGTGTTTGTAACCTGGGTTTGGAGTACCATACTTGAATACTTTTTGCGGTACCTGTTCCTTAAAGGAACCATTATATCAAATACGTAAAGGTCTATACTTTTTTCTCTCTGGTTACTTCAAAGTCCAGGTAAGATCTCGGGGCAGGAGGTGCTGGAAATGCGGATGGAGGACCACTCTTGGGTGCCCTGTAATAGAGCGCTTATGGTCCTGAGAAGTGGGTATTTGGGGTATAGTAGAGACCAGTTGGTGGCCCCGACAGCTTTGCCGATAGGGTTCAGGGTTTGTAGGGTCTAGGGGTTTAGGAACCCTAAACCCTAACCACTAAACCCCTAAAAGTTTGTTTTCCTTGGGATAATTCTGAGTTTTTGGTTACTGTAAGTATAAATCCTTAAGAAACAGCTAAAGTTACAGAGTTGGAAAGGGTACGTATAGTGATAGGGCTCAGGCTTTGCAGACTGTCGCAGCCTGAAGTCCTAAATCCTGCAGCCTACCCTGAGGACCCAAAGTAGTTCCTTTTTGGGGTTCATATATAGAATCCTATAAGGTAATCCCCAAAAGGAACTACTTCAGGGCCTATCTGTAAGCACGCCTTGCGTGGCGAGGAGTTCCAGCAGCTTACGGAGCAGAAGAGCAGCCCCGTACGCTTTCTGAAGCGAGAGATTCAGGCATTGCGCCTCGCTACCATACCTGAACATACCAAAATCTGCTTGTTTGTAGGTGTGTTATTGCGAAGCCTAACATGGGGTTTATAGCGGCTCTACAACAAATCGGTTCTGGTGGTTGGAGGTACGGTTGAGGGGTGTGCAGGGCTTACGTTCAGAGCCTAGCATGTTTCAGTACATGTTTCTGGTCTGGCTTTCCACGACTAGTTCCAAGGGTTTAGGGTTTGGGGTCTTGGGGAATGTCAACCCGGAGAATTCGGATCTTTACGATTTGGGGTGTGGGAGCCGGTAATTAGGGCTTGGGATGGTTTCTTAGTTTAGAGGTGCACACACACACACACACAAACACACTCAATCACACGCATGCACGCGCACACGCACACATCACAAGAACATACTATAGGAGGCTTAATAATTAGAATAGGTTGTTGGGGCCCACTATATTATACCCATAGTAATAATCCCCTCCAAATAGGATACAGTAGAAGCGCAAAAGTTGGAATCCCAATAGCCTCAATCCTTCAGAGTAACATATAGGGAATCCCAGCACTATTTGGCCTTAGTCTGCTTTAAAACTTCATGGGGTCTACCCTAAGGCTCCTAAGAGGGTCTCGGGCTCTCTGGGGGAGGGTTTCGGCTTCGGGGGCTAGGGTCCGGGATCTCACTACAAGGGTCCAGGAGCCTTAAGGTAGAGCTTTAACTTTTTCTGGCACCTGCTTCTTAATTCAAGGGAACCACTATGAAATACAAGAAGGCTTCTTAATTCAAGGGTCCAGGAGCCTTAAGGTACTGTAGGTAGTTCTATCGGCCCCTACATTACAAGGTGTGGCACTCCACGGTTCCGACAACGGCTGCTCATGGAAAATGGCCTCCCCTTGGAGGAGGTCGCCGCCTTTGTTGGGGGCTTCAGGGCTCTGAGAGTTTCTTGCCCGTAGGCTCTAACGGTTGATGATATAAATCCTGCATGACCCATAATAAGGAATATACCATAATTCCCATAGTTTGGGGTCCTTAAGGTAATGCAGGATTTATACCATCCACCGAAGGACTCGTATTTTAAGGCTTTTGGGCCCAAAGACCATACTGTGTAAGGCTTTGGGCTATTTCGAGCAATAGGGTTAGGGACATCTGCATAAGCATTTTCAAAGGGATATCCCTACCTTATTGGGCTTCATGATAAGGGGTTTGTTTTATCGGATATCACTATCCTAATTTGTGCTTTTATGTGCTTTTTTGGGGCCGTAGTTTCGGGATTTGTATAACGTAGGAACCTGATTAGGAAACCCTGGGCCTATACCCCCAAAGTAGCAGGAGTCATATATTAGGGCCTACATACTCTCTAACATTGCTTCTCACGGTTTCTTAGTAAGGTGATGGTGGTACAATGCAAGCCCGAAGCCTGCTGCTAGTTCATACATGGGAGTTTCCGAAATTAGGGGTATCTCATTTTAGGGATCCTCATTATCTATTTAGGGCACTATATTAGGGTCCCCTCTTTTCGGAAACTGCCATATGAGGTTTTGAGGATCAGGGCTCTAGGATCGGGAGCAAGACCAGGATATGGCCATCGAGACATCCGCTGACCTGCAGCTGATCTTGCTGCTTGCTTGCAGCCCTGTGCAAGCTGCGTAAGGGCTTTGCGCAGAATTTAAGGTGAGATTGTTGCTGCACATTTAGGGGCGGGGCTTTGGGTCATTTTGCATAAACCCTGATGCCTAAGCCCTGCCCTAAACGCAACCTTTGAAAACTCGTTTGTCACACACGGGCCATGACCCCGCACGTTGCATACAACCGAACTAAACTTGCCCAAAGCTTAACCACATCTTCGTATGGGGCTTGTTCGATGCTTGCATAAATACCCTTACTCGTATCAGAAAGGGTGCCGCGACAGGGACCCTTTCAAATCAAAGTGACATCTACTTCCGAAGCTGCGGAGCTATGGACCCGAAAGCCTACAGACCAAATGCTGAAAGCGTCGATGAGATGTGGGAGCTTGAGCAACTGGCCTAAATTCCATAATCTGTTTAGAACCTTTAAAGAGCCTTAGTCTTAGTCGCACTCTGTATAGATCCCCCACGCCATGAACCCTAAACCTTACCACTAAACCCGACTTTTTTGTAAGTCCCAATTGTACATCCTAAGATGCAGTGTATAGGGACACTACAAAACAGTAGGTTTTGGTAGGTTAAGGTACCCGAGTGGACTTTAAACCCCAAACCCTAAGCCCTAACTAGGATGCCCAGTAGTACCCTTATTCCCTTTTTGTAGTCCTAAGTTCCTTATAGAGTTACCCAATACCAAAACGGGAGCCCTTTTTTGTTCCTAGGTTACTGGGCATCCTAGTATATTATGGTACCCTTATAGTAGCCTTTTCAAGGACTCCTTTAAAAGGAGCCCCGGTAACTATAGCTATCCTTTTTTGGACCCCCTAGGGAGATCGAGGCTCGGATTTCCGGCGGCGCAGCCGAGAGATGCGGACGAACTGGCGTTCTGTCTTTATGGGCCTCCATTCTCTGAGGTGGTTTTCGGGAGACCTCTTGAGGGCTCTATAAGGGTCCCTTTAAGGGTCCCTTT